ATAAAAGCATTAAGCTTGATTGGGATGTTCATTCTGGAGTTATGGTAGATGGTGTATTAGCTGTTTTTGGCAGGATAATAGATCAGTCACAATGTTATTAACAATTTATAGAATTGTTAGTGAGGAGTGAAAAGTAGAACAGGATAGGTAGCGACTAAAGGAAATTAGTACAAATGCAGCAAATATATGTGCAATGTTTAGTTCTGAATCTTGAAAAAATTAAAAATTCCAAAAATAGTAGATGACTACAACCATAATATGAATGGCATAGATATTGCAGATCAATTATATTTATATTACAACATGCAAAAAATAACACAACGAAATTGGATGCCCATTTTTTTGGCTACTTGATACTGCAATTATTAATGCGTATCAGATTATTTAGACTATAAGATCAATGCAAGAACAAAAAGAGTTCTGCAATGAGCTTGTTTAGGATTTAATTAATTTTGCAAATGATACTGATAAAATTCAACTAAGGAGTAGTTTGAAGAAGGATGCAAAATATTAGAAAATAATAAAACATTTTGAGCTTTCAGATCAACGATTAGTTTCTGAAAACCATTTTGTAGAATGAAAATAAAAACATGAAGTGTGTAGATGATGTATATGGTGTTAACCCTACACTTAACCGTCAAACTTAAGGCAACTATGACTTAATAACAGGGAGTAACATGCGAGAAAATACTAAGTTACTGTGAAATAAGTCCTATCACAATCAACCTTAGGTTTATACTTTAGACGAATAAATAACTTTAACAATTTGTAAACATAATAAACACAATTGACACGTTGAAGGATTTTTAAAATATGTAGTTTAGAAAGAGATTCCTTTATTGTAGAGTTTCGTATCCTTAGCAATCCTTAACCTTGGATTCTAAGTCTTGAACTTGAACTATTGAGTTTACGCTGTTATCTCTGCCCTTTTACAAGGATAAATTTCTATCCTATTTATACAAAAATACAATTATAAGAAATTGCTATTTAACGCTAAACTATTTTATAACGATAAAATAAATATAAAAGATAAATTATAATTTAACGATGATAATAATTTAATAAATAATAATAATAAAATATAAGAATAAAATAAATTAAATAAAAATGTTAGCTAAGTTAAAAATGCTAATGATATTAATAACGTTGATCATTCGTTAATTTTTGTGGCACAGTAAGATTGACTTCATATGGTATCAATTTCCTTCTCTAAATTTGCAGCTCCTGCAAAAATTTCATAAGCTTCATCAACCAAGTCCTTGAAATCCTGAGATTTAAGATTATAAATCATCCTAAGAGTTATTTTTCTAGTACGTCTGATTTGTGCAATTCCCAGAGTTTTAAAAAGATAATAAGTTCTTTTTAAGGCCTGCCGATAGTATAAGGTCATTTGGTTCCTAAATTGAGTTCATTCAGCTGGACTTGAAGTTTTTGTCTCCATTACTTGTCCAAGATAAAATGCATTACTAAAGCTAATACTCTATTTTCAACCTGGTAGCTCATAATAAAGCTCTATAAGTATTTTTGACTTTTTGCACAGTTAAGTTAGTCTCCATGTAAGGTGGGGGAATATTGGTATCTACTAGATTAACAGCCATTAAATCATCTTTAACTTCTTAAAATAAAGTCATCATATTGAAAAATTTTGAGAAATTTTTAAAGGAGTTTACTTCATTATATAACAATCTGAGGCTCTCAATTTTGGCGATCATGATAAGACTTTAATAGATTTCCATTTACAGGTGTACGTAGCACTCTTTCATCTATTTCTTTTATCTTATATGATCCATTCATTAAAACTTGATGAATATAGTAAGATCCTTTCCATTTTGGGTTTAGTTTACCAGACCATTGCTTATCTTTAGCCGCATCATAGTAAAGGATTTTATCTCTGATTTCAAATTGATAAAGATGATCAATTTGTCTATCATGATGATTCTTTTGTTTTTGTTGCGCTATTGTAATACGATTTCTTGCAATTTCTCTAGTTTGGAGTAATTAATCAACCAAATTTTATAAATGTTTAGATAATGTGACAGTTAGATCGTCAAGATCATCCAGAGGTAATATTGCATTTCTTCTATATACAAGATAAAAAGGAGATATTTTTGTGACTGAGTGTTTGCTTGTACAATATGCAAATAAGATTAGTGCAATTTGTAGATCCAAATTATTTAGAACTTGTGCTGTTTTCACTAAAGATTCACACAAGGTACGATTAAAACATTCCACTAAACCATTTGTTTGAGGTGGTAAGTTGTTGATAGTAGATGTTTGATTTTAAACTTATCCATCAAATCCTTGATCATTTGATTATTAAAATGGGTTCCTTTGTCAGACAGGATTTTCATAGGGCATCCATGACGACAGATTATGTATTCATAAATAAATAAGGTAACCTGTTTCACAGTAGCTTCAGGAACAGCTTTAGCTTCAGGCCACTTAGTAAAATAGTCGACAGCTAAATAATATGCTTATTTCCATTTAACGTTATGGGTAAAGTTCCAATAAAGTCTATACCAATTTGGTAAAAAGGTATTTGGACTGGTATAGGATTTAGCTCTTCGTATTTCTTTGGCTTTCCTCTTCTTTGACAACTATTGCAAGAACGAATATATTCTCTAATATTTTCATATAATTGTGGTCAATAGTATCATTCTTTAATTTTATCAAACATTATATCCACTGCAAAATGTCTAGCAGTTGGATCATTATGCATCATATAAAGTACAGCTTCTATTTCATATAATTGAATAACTCTGAGAAGCTTTTGATGAACATGTTTATACAAATAATTATTTTTAATTTCGAAATATCTAGATTATTTAACTAATTTTTGTTGCTGAGTTGGTGTTAAATCGTTTGGTAAAGTTTGGTTTTGTAAATAATTAAAAAGATGATTATATTGTGTTATATCCATTTTGAGCTGTTTGTCACACTGCAAACACTTCGGCTTTCACTCAAATAAATATATTTTAATAAATGTTGAGATGGATAGGAGATTAATAAGAAGATAGGGGAATAATATCTAACATTTCATAAAGTTAAGAATATGCATTTTCTTGTTGTACTAGAACTGGTTCTTCCTACCATATATCATTAACTAGATAAGTTGGTTTCATATCAAGGTGAATTTTTTCTCTTTCATATCCTATAATACAATCATGAATAATTGTACCATAAGGTAGATTCTTTTTACACGCTTTACAATAAGTGTAAATATGATGATTTTCAGTATCACAGGCGAAAGTACATTGAGATCCTCCTTTAGTAATAGGTTGGTTGGCTATGACTGATTTAATCTTAATATTTTCATGATATATATCTTCCATTTCATCCTTTGGGTTTTCATATCCAACTGCAGTAATTAAAGATACGTTGGAGAATTGTTGAAGTAATTGTTCCTCAAACCATGTTTCTTCATTATCTTTAATAGAGTTATATTTAAAAGAAATATACCATTTGTTCTCTAATTTTTCAATTTCCTCAGTAATTATCATGTAAATTTCATGGGTATCATCTTTGTATTTTTGGTCAGTATTAATTCGTGAAAGGTTATCAGCATTAGCATTTAGTTTTCCAGGTCTATATTTAATTTCAAAATTATATTGTTGAAGTTCCATAATCCATTATGCTCTCTTTCCTTTAGGAATTTTTGATGTTTGTAACCATTTAAGAGCTGAATGGTCAGTAATAATAGTGAAAGTATCTCACAGCCCATACAACTGCAAGACATTCTTGGTCAGTTATCTCATAATTTTGCTCAGCTTTGTTCATACTTCTGCTGGCATATGCTACCACACAATCAAGCCCATTTTCTAACTTTTGGGAGAGAACAGCTTCTAAGCCATTTCTATAAGCATCGGTGTATAAGATAAATAGTTTATTAAAATTTGGATACTACAAAATGGGTGCAATAATTGATTTCTCCTTTAAAATATCAAAAGCCTTTTGTTGAGTATCTGTTCACAAGAACTGTTCTTCCTTTTTCAACAATTGAGTTAAAGGTTTGGCAATTTTTGAGAATTCTGAAACAAATCGTTGGTAATATAAGAATAATTCTAGTGCAGACCTCAAACTTGTTAGGTCAATTGGAATGGGAAAGCTTTTAACTTTATCAATTTTTGCAAGGTCAGGTTGTAATCTATTTCTTCCAACTACATATCCTAAATACGTTATATTAGGTAGACAAAGTGACCCTTTTTGAGCTTGATCATTAAATTTGCTTGCTTTATCACTTGAAATACTTTTCTCAAATGTTGAATATGATTCTCATAAGTTGTTGAGTAAATAATAATATCATCCAAATAGACAGCAACGAATTTATACAAGAATTCTTAGAGAATATGATTCATTAATCTTTGAAAGGTTGCTGGTGCATTCTTTAATCCAAAGGGCATAACGTTGAATTCGTACAGACCAAACTGAAAAATAAAAGCAGTTTTTTCCTTATCTTTTTCACTCATTTCTACCTGCCAATAACCACTAGCAAGATCAAGTATAGAAAACCAATTTGCTTCTCTAAATTTTTCTAATAAATCGTCAATTCTCGGTAGAGGATATGCATCACTTTTAGAAATAGAATTTAACTTTCTGTAGTCAATGCAGATTCATTTATCTCCAGTTTTCTTGCTACTATAACTACAGGAGAAGCCCAGGGGCTTAACGACTTTCTAATAATCCATTTTCTTCTATACGCTTAATTTTATTTTTAAGAAAATTAAGTTTTACTGGATCTTTACACTTATAAGCTCCAGTGGTAACTGTATTATGATTATTGGTCAAAATATTATATTTTACCAAACTAGTTCGTCCAATTTTTGTTTGGCTTAGAGCACATATATCTTCATAATCATTGATTAATTTTTAAAAGAACGTTTGCTGCTAGTCATCAAGAGGTCTAACTTGAAGGTCGTCTTTAATTTTCCAAATATTTTCTTTAGAAGTTTTAGCAAGAAATACTGCTGGATTAGCTTCAAATTCTTCTTTAAATGCAAGAGTTAAATAGACAGGATTTTCTTCATTCCAGAATAGTCAAGGGGTAGAAGGTCAGTTTCCTCCTCATATTCTTCTTGACTATTTGCCATATATGCCTCAATTTCGCTGAGTTCTTCTTCCTCATAATCATCCAAAACTTGTTCTAGTTCATCATCTTGTTGATCTTGAATAGTAAGATAACTAACAGGGGCTTCATTTGCACTAGAAGTCACAGGAACTGTGATTGTTTTCGCTAAATATATCAACCTAATTTGGTTGATTCCAAAATCAAGGCTAGCATAAGTTTTTCTAAACCAATCCATTCCTAAAAGTAGAGTTTCATCTTGAGAGTCGATAACTTGTAAAGAAATAGGAATTAATAGGTTTTGAATAGCAATTTGAGCTCTTTTAACTTGTCCTAATGCTCTAGTCCTTTCTCCATTAGCAATGACTATAATAGTATTAGACTGTTCATCAATAAATAATCCCACTAATTTTCTGATGATAATGCTGACAGCAGCTCCAAAATCTAAGATAGCAACAACAGGGTTTCCTTTAATTCTAACATAACAATGAATAGCTGTAGATTTGTCTTCTTTTTCTTCTTCACTTTCTTGATTAGCATAATTTGTTTCTTGAATTTTTGGTCTCCTCAACCCTTAAGCAAGTTACGTCTCTAGTTTGGATATTACAAAAGCTGACCAATTTTTGCAAAAAAAGACATTTGTAACAAATCTTGCATGACATTATAGGAAGCCATTTGATCAATTTGAGATGATCCTCGTTTAACTTTCTTCTTTTGAGTAGGGGTAATAATTTGTGGGATTTCTACTTCCATAAATTCATTAATAGGTTTTCTGCTTCTCAAGTTTAGTTCCCTTCTGGATTCAGATTGTTTCTTTCTTTCTGCTTCTAATTGTTGAACAGTTTTTCTATTAGTAGTATAAGGTTTGTTTTGTGGAAGGGCATAAACTTCTTCCTCCTCTACTTCTTCAATTTCTTCTTCTTCACTATCGGTAAAAATTCCAACATAACTAGCTTCTCTTCTATCAGATTTCCTTCGATATACTAGTTTTTCAGACATACATTCTTTTGAATAATGTCCTTTTTCTTAGAAACGATAACAAATAACATCCTTTTTATCCTAAGCCTTTGTTTTCCAAACTTTTGTAAGATTTCTGTCATCTTTTGGCTTTCTTCTTTCAGGTTTTCCTTTAAGTTGTGTGGATAATGCATTGGAAAGAGTTGCATAGTTTAAGGATAACTGTTCCATTTATTTGGTAAGATTATCGATAGCATTATTGCTTCCACTTGGTTGAGTTGATACAGGAGATTGCTGTTCATAATATTGACCACTCTCAACTTGTTTAGCTACATCAATAGCTTCTTCTACATTTTTGGGATGACTAAATGTTACAAGAAGAACGATATTCTTTCTTAATCCATTAAGAAAAAGTCTTACAGTATATTTATCTGATAAGGCACTAGAAGAGTTAACTTTCTTTAACAATCTTTTAAATTTTCCTGCATAAAAATCTACTTTTTCATAAGGCCCTTGGCGAAGTGTATTTAATTGATAGTGCCATAGATTTTGCTTTTCTTCAGTTGAGAATTTTTTCAAAAATAATAATACAAAACTTGCAGCAGTATTACCATCTGAACTCCAGTAAATAATAGTATCAACATTTTCTTCAAACCAATATGCAGCTAGTCCATGCAAATATTCTGATACAATTTTTAGCATTCGAGCTTTAGACCAATTATTTGCTTCAGTAGCAATTTCAAAGCTTCTGATCTAATCATTAAGGTCTTCATCATCATTCTCATAGAAAGGTTTTACTATAATAATATTACTTTCTTTTGGTGTAGTGTTTCCACCATATCTACCTGAACCAGATGGTGTATTTTTAATATCTTTAGAAAGATCTTTGAAACTTTTTGTCATATGGTCCATGAGGTTTTTTAACTGTTCAGTATTCATTTACTTCAGAGGTTGTAGATGTAGGAGTAAGAGGTGAGATAGAAGTATTAAAAGATTTTTCGAAGCACTCAGTAGTGTGAGTAACTAATAATAAGTGTTGTAAAACGGAAGGTAAATCAGTAGGGTATAGATAATAATTTAAACAATATAATAATGTGACTGCTGCTTTTGTCGTTTTATTACTATTATGAGCGTTTTCATGATAACTATCTAAATAAAGTTTAAATGCTGTTAAAGAGCAATTACTGAATGCTATAGTATTATATTCACTAGAGATCCAATTTCAAAAGTTTTTAAAATTCTTTGTTACTATTTGATTAATAGGATTACACTGTACACAAGATGCATCTTTTTCCAAAGGTGAATTATTTCTGTGTGCTTCTTTATGATATTCTTAGATTATTTTTAGAATGTCAAAACTAGTAGGTATATTCATATAAGTTTAATAAAGACAATTATAATCCTGGCAGGAATTACCAATTTGTTAACCTTACGCTCAACCGTCGAACTTAGAGCAACTATGACTTAATAATAGGGAGTAACGTGCGAGAAACTACTAAGTTACTGTGAAATAAGTCCTATCACAATTAACCTTAGGTTTATACTTTAGACGAGTAATATAACTTTAACAACTTATAATCACGATAAACACAATTGACATATTGAAGGATTTTTAATATATGTAGTTTTAGAAAGAAATTCCTTTATTGTAGAGATTTGTATCTTTAGCAATCCTTAACCTTGGATTCTAAGTCTTAAATTTGAACTATTGAGTTATCACTATTATCTCTGCCCTTTTACAAGAACAAATTTCTATCCTATTTATATAAAATACAATTATAAAAAATTGCTAACTAATATTAAACTATAAAAAAAATAAATATGAATTTAATTAAGTTAAAGGGTCAGATTATCTTTATTGATGATTTATATTTAAAGAAATAGATATTGATAAAGATATAATTTTATTTTATTAAAATTATACTTTATTTAATTGTATAATATAAACTTGTCTCTTTTGTCAAGATAATAATACATAATATTTATATAAAATACAATTATAAGAAATAGATATTTAATAAAATAAAGAAAATAAATATAATTATGATAATAAATATAATAAATAAAATAGTGATAAATTATATAATAATTATTATCTGAAGCATAATGAAGAAATATTATATACACTTAAAACTATGCAATATCTGTCTATTAATATGTGAAAATGTCTAATTAAATTTTGTAATTAGGTATAACATTTAATATTATATGATTATATGATAATAATAAAAGTTAGTGTTACTTTTTTTTCTGATATTAAATAATGCAAATATTTTAAACATTGATACCATGTGAAGTCAATCTTACTGCGTCACAAAGATTGATGATCAATGTTATTAACTTCATTAGCATTTTTAACTTAGTCAACATTTTTATTTAATTTATTTTATTCTTATATTTTATTATTATTATTTATTAA